TCGATAACAATTAATTGTGTAACCTGAATGTATTTATTTTTTGTTCTTGAGTTTGAGACAACAGCATGGACCATTTTTCTCAAAAACACCACAAAGTTACAATTATGCTCAATGTATAATTTAATAATTAGACTAATAGCCAGTGGTGCATGTTATCACCAAGTAACTGCAAATGATGTGTGTGTATATGTAATGAGCTCTATAGGTTTATTTTCACACATGGACAAACACAAAAAGTGCAAAAGCTCGAGCCCACCTCCACTGTGTGTTTAAGAATGATAAAATTAACAGTTTAAGAAAGCTGCGCTGAATTAATCATAAATAAGCAACACCTTAATCCACAGAAGTATATACTGAATAAATTAGACCCTTGTATAAATAAACGATATTTAAGTTATTATTGTTAATCTCCACAAAATGTCCCTTAGGGCTGTATTTCCAGCCATTTCTAATCATCAATGATCAGCCTGGGTCTTCATTTTAATCAAGAGGTCTACAGCCACTGCTCCTGTCAGTCCTGTCAGAAAAAACATGCAATTTGGAGCAGAGTTGAGACTTAAGAGGAATACATTTTATTTTTTTTATTTTTATTTTATTTTTTTTGAATTGCACTGATTAAAAGTCGGTCTTGTTTGTGTTCATAAAATTAAAATGGAAAGAGATATTTACTTGTTTGAATAAGAAGAAATAAAAATCAAACCAAAAAATGTGATTGGTCAATACAAGCAAATAAATCATGATAAATTTAACAGCACTAATCCTCTAATTACACCTATCACTTTCCTACTTAGCCACTTTCCCATGATGCATTGGGTATAATATTTTCATAAGTGTTGCTAAGTTTCAGATGACATCACAGTCACACATGTTTGAGTAATCCTTTATTATTAGTCTGTTCACATCTCCAAAGCTCAAAATGCTCTGTTACACCTTCTGATGTCAAAAAGCTTAGTTTTCACATTAACCACTACGTCTTACCTTTAGTTCAGTAAAGATTTGCAATTCCAGGCTGAAATTATCGTAATGATTCTAGTGAAGGTGTGAGGAGTTTAAAAACACAGTGACGCACTTCCTGTATTACCACATGACATCACAGGGTGGAACCGAGAACAGGTAAAATATGTAGGATTTGTGTGTTAAACGTGTGAATGAAACAAAACACAACTCCAGGAAACAACATTACAAAATAGATCAGACATTAGAGTAATATGGGCCCTTCAATACAGAAGAGGGCAGCTAAAATAAATATTGTTAAAATGCTGGTTTCTGTTGTAATAGTGAGTTTCTGGCTCTAGACTGGGGTGACCGGATTTAAAGAATTCAAACCTGGGACATATCCAGGTTAGGATGGTTACTATAAACAAACTGTGAAAAGAGCGTAACATTGCAGTCATAATCTGAGTGACGTCTGTTGCTGCATTTTTTTTTTTTAACTTTATGGTCATTTGCAAACATGGTTTTCTGTATTTTGCCTAAACAAATGACAATTTAAGCTCCTCTTTACTGGTGGTGGAGATTAAATTTGTAAAAAAAAAAAAAAATGATAGTCCTGTTTAAGTCCTGGTTTAGATCTGATGCAGTCCTGGTTTAGTCTTAGTTTAGTCCTGGTTTAGATCAAATTGGTCCAAAATAGGGACACCTGGGACATTTCTTGTATAAAACTGGGACAAATCAGTGGTTTTGTATGAATCTGCTGGGACAGGGGACACAGGGCTCAAAACGGGGACTGTCCCAAGTAAATAGGGACGTCTGGTCACCCTACTTCAGACACTAATAGAACTGATCAGGTTCAACATTTGTGAATTTACCTTTAAGATTTTCATCGCAAATACATTGAAATTCAATGGGGAAACTGTCACATTGTAGAATCTGAAATAGGTTCTGCGCACAGAATCACGCTAGCTAGCTCACCGTGTCTCAAAGCGAACAATCACATTTATAAAAAAAAAAACAAAAAACATAAAATAAACAACATAATACAATTCTAATTCATTGAAATAAAGACTACATAATTATTGTAAACTTCTGTTTGGGACTTGGAATTAGCATTAGAGCAGTGTCCTCAGTGTACAACGCTAACATTTGTGAGATATGCTAGCGGGTGCTGTTGTGCACAGGGCCTATTATCAAATGCAACAGGTTTTCTTTATATGACTTGAGTACTGTATTGCAGTCTTTCAAAAGCACACAGCTGCATTTCCACGCTTTAAGCATTCAGAACCGTCATCTATATTGTCCATATTCTCATTCTAACAACTGAAGGAGCATGACCCATAGCTATGCATCTGTTAAAACACTGCTTTTTTCAGCCATTTTTATTCAAGGGCGGTGCAAAACAGCTCGGTTTTGATTATCGCTGTGCTGAATAGAATATAGCGCAGTAAAACAAAAGATTCACAAATACACACTACTAGAGGCTCTGTCAGAAAGCTAGTGCACACTCCTACACATACGCCCACAGCACACGCACAAAACAAACACACAAGCGCACAATGGCCCAGGGGCTGCTTTTGAAAATCTCTTCAGCAGAACCATATGGGAACGGGGAGAAAGAGAAAGAGCAGGAGAGGTGCAGGTTATCTTCATATTTATTCATCCAAGTTCATCTGGATCCCCATAGACACAAACTGAGCATCAGATGGAGCAGACTATTCTAAGGCAGCCCAAAGGCACTGCTGTCCTCAAGGTACTACTGGGGCAAGTAACCTATGGACTTGTGATAGGGCGGATGGATACGGGAAGGAAGAAGGGTTGTGAAAAAGGAGTAGCTATAGTAGAAAGAGATTTGGCATTTCTGTGATGTCTTTGTTGTAATGTTGGCCTATGACACACAAATTTAACACAGCAATAATGAGAAATGCAAATTGAATTACTAATGAAATGACTTGCAAATTGAATCCTGCTGACTCCATTTACATTATCATGCAGAGTATTCCAATAAACAGGCCAAGTAAAAAATAAAAATTGAAAACTGAAATTTTTACAAGAAGCACTTAATGAGTGTAAATGCAGAAGTATTCAGTGGTCACACCAGGAATTGAATCAGTAATTTTCAGTCACCAATGACACGCTAGAAAATCTTACATACAAAACATGAGACATCTAGGGCAGTCTGGCCTTTTTTGTGAAGTTCTAAAGTAAAGTATACTCATTTATTTGGTAATGGTATGTATGATTGTATCCCCATAGCCTACACATAAAGGGCCTATGTTACGCTATTTTCTGATTTATGTTTTATCATCAAATCATACCTGGAGTTGTGTTTTGTTTCACACAACTCTGCATATTTAAACTGAGTCCTTCAGTCAAACAGAAAACACTCTGTCCCACCTTGTGATGTCATGTGGTAATACATGAAGTGCTCCACTGTGTTTTAAAACTCCATACACCTTCACTACAATCCGGATAATTTCAGCCCTGGATTTGTGCATCTCTACTGAACAAACTGTAACTTGAAAACTACCGCCTCATGACATCACAAGGTGGAACAGAGCATTTTGAGCTCTGGAGATGTAGTCAGACTAACAATGCAGGATTACTTTGACGTGTGAATGAAACGAAACACAACTCCAGGTTTGTTTTGGAGGAGGTGGCAACATTCTAACATGTCTTAAAGCTCACAAGAGTCAGTTTTGGCTCATTTAGGACCTTTAAAAATGCATTAACCAAAATCTAAAAATATCTAGGGCCGATATTTTATTACAGCTGCCTAAACAATATGCAACAAAGAAGAAAGAGGGCACTGCACAAAATGTGATTATACAGTGCTGTTTTATCCAGTTAGTAAAACCGGTTAATAAAAATTTGTTTGTTGTAGTTAAATTATATCACCTGGGGGAAAGAATCAAAATCAGCTCTACATCTCGTTCCGAAAAGATCACCAGGTTATTCCTTTGGTTGTTCTGGACATCAACAACTGATATCTGTATTAGCCATGAATCTCTAATCTATACACTCTCACACTTACAGAGATTTTTAACAATCAAGATCAAGAGATGAGATTGCATTTGAATCATTTTCCAGAACTCTAATATTCCTACGCTAATATTTTCTACAAAGGATGAGACACTAACAATCATTGATTTAACTGGTTAATGCTATGACCAGTATTAAGAGGGGCTATGTGCATTAGCTGTTGCGTTGCTCGTATACTAGTTTGTAAATGTGACACCTACCAGCTCATTATTGCTATGGTAATTAATGTAAGCCTTATAAAATACATAATTGAATAAATACCATGTGCGTGTGTGTATGCATGTGTGTACTGTGTGGGCATGAGTGGACGTAGCTGGAGAAGTGCCGTGCTAGTCGTGACTGCCCAGGCATCTGTAGGAGGATCTGACTAGCACTAGCTCCCTTATATAACAGAATGGAGCAGATTGAGCAGTGATTATAAGGGCATAGGGCACCCCTCTCTACACCTCTGCAGTAATGTGTGCATCGTTTAACACCAGTGCCAGGGTGGGTGAGTGAATGTAGCCAATGTAGGCACGGATGATGGCTACTGTGTGTGCGGAATGGAGAACTCATTCAATTAACTGTACTTCCACTATAGCTGAATATTAATCAACAGATGTCACTGGTGTGTTCTGTTTAGGCTTCATGCTGGAGGTGTAGCGGGATCAGCAAACAACAATTTAATTACACTATTTTCCCTAGCATTACATTTGTTATGTTAGCACCATTTGTAAAGGAAATAGCATTATCCGCTAACCAGAAGATTTCCAGTTGAAACCCTCTGCTGTACACTGCAACTGCATCCATGTACTTAATTAGTCAACCCTTTAAATACTTCGACTGCCCAAAGCAGTAGAAATGGATCATTTATACAACAGCAATGCATATAGATCTACAATTTATTTTTAGACAAAGAGAAATAATTACAAAACCGTACAAAAAATGCAAAAAAAGAAAAAAAAAATTGCCAATAAGCTGCAAAATGCTTATTTTCTCTGTCTGGATTTTGCTCTTGTTACCTGGTAGTAACTCTTTCTGTTGTGATCCCATCATCAAAATAAATTATTTTCATGTAATAAAACAATAATTAAGTTTCAGTACTTATTATCTAATGCATAAAATCTAAATCTAAATTTAAAAAAAAATTAAATAAAAGAGAAAAATTATGAAATACTGTTCAGGATTGCAAACTTCACATTTCTTTTCATAACTAATCCAAAATAACTATACCATATAATAGCAACAATTTTTTCAGTTAAAATCAAATATATAAAATACATTTTTGCTGACAGCCACAGACCTACAGCCTACTTACTGTGACTCTAATGTGTCATTTTCAATCAAAAACACCCACTTTAATACAACTCCTGAAGATCAGATATTACAGGTTGTTTTTTTAAATATTGGAGTTGATAATCTCACCTCCCCTCCATGTTTCACACTGGTTTTCACAGTGAGCGGGTGTCCAGATGGAGCGCGTACCATGCTCTGAGAGGGCCTTCTGGCTGTTCTCTCCCCAGACACCTCAAGCCTTCACCCCATCAACGCCATTTCCTCTTCCTCTGCATCTACCGCAAATATAAAACAATTAGCATCACCCATAAAAATACACTGTTTGAATGAATAATGAATTATTCAGATAAGAATGCCTGCCCTCTGCAAAGAACTAAATAATGTGTTTTTTTAATATAAAAATCTTGCACCTGTTCTTAAATACATGCTCTTAAATACATGGGATTCTTGCATTCATTTTTCAGTTCATATTTCAGTTTTTGTACAAATTGGTCCTGGAGTTGTCTACAATGTGCACTCTCAACGGAATCTTACTCTGCAAACACATATCTCAAATCTAATCGCAATACTTGTCAGAAAAATTGCATATTTTTTTCCAAAATTGTGCAGTGCTATGATCATGTAAAACTAGTACACATTTCCGTAATAAAATTTTTGTAGTTTACTAGAAAGGAGCATTTTGCCCATAGTTATTTCTCTACCATTACCATTACACTGGGGGGGTTGCAGATGATTCTTTTACATAGTTATTAGAAGCAGTTTATTGATGTATTTGTTTAGATTAGGAGTGCCCAAAGTTTTTTTTCCCCCAAATTTAATGACAGTTTGCATATAGAAATGCAAAGAAATGTATGATTAAATGTACTTAAATATTAGGAAATAAAGAGTATTGTCTCCCTTCCTATCTCCTGAATCTTTTTAGTACAAAATAGAACCAAAACTGGTTATTCTTAAAATCTCTGTGCCCACTCGCAGCCAAATTAGACCCCTGGGAGGGCCATTTTGAGCACCCTTGGTTTAGATATTAACATAGATTAGTACCACAGTAAAAAAAAAAAAAAAAAAGGGAGAGAGAGAGCTTAGACAATATGAATAAAATTCATAGGGGACTTGGTTTAATGATCTGCCTATATAGGCCAGAATATTTCATAAAATGGTCAACTTTGTCAATAACGTTGAACTATTGACTCCTATCCTAACTAGTATTACAACATAATCTTTATAATCTACAACTCATAATATTATGTAATTTTGATTTTCTTTTGGTGTAATTCTGAAAAGGCTTTACAGTATCACCTTTGCTCTTGACTCTAGCCGTTCGAATCAAATAAGTGTCAGTGGGTTCTCGTTTACCTTAGAAATCAACATTGGTATATTCAGACTGCAGATTTCTCTCATGACAAACTACTTTATTTTCAATGTGCACAGACTCTGAAAGCCTTTTGAATAGCTCTGTCTTTATTGGCAATGCTGTCTTTTGATTCGCTGATCTCTTCACAGGAATTGACCTTGAGGAGGAAGTCATTTTGTAGCTTATATCCTGACTTCTTTCCTTTTTTTTAAGCAGAATATTCTGATCTTTACATGAACACAAGAGAATGTATAGCCTTACATCTATGTATTTGTGTCCAAGGCTGTACCTTGGAGATGAAGAGGGAAGAAAGATTTGTTCTCATAAAAGGGCTTTTCGATTACAGTGAGCGGCAGTGATTGTGTGTTGGAGGAGAGGGTAAATCCAGACGTATTCAAAGGGGTCACAGGGGTCAAATTCCTCAGGAAGAGAATGTGGAGACCAAGGCAGAAACATGGGAACTCCGGCCCAAAGCACTCTGCACCAGCGCTGCTAACTGTTGCTTAGAAACCAAACCGCTCTTCACACGTTTTTCTCCTTCGTCCCTTTTTATATTTACTGGTAACAAAACCTACAATTTTCTTTATGATTTGCTTTTGAGACTGGCATCGCTGGCTGAGCTCTTGAAGTTGAATTTACATGAAAACAGTAAGCTTTGGAACAATGTATTCTGATTAGCAGACATCGATGTCAGGAGAAGTGGGCAGGACGTAAATAAACAACTAATCATTTGGGTGAAAAGTTAAAATAATTTGGTAAGAAATAAAACGTGCAGTGAGTTAATACTTCTATCACCACAATATCTAATTCTGGCAATAGCTGTTGACAAAAATGACTGGCCCAGTGAGGCAGAAAACGGTGTCTTTGTGATTTCTGCAGTGAAAAATATAATAAAAAATACTCTCACTGTAAATATATATATGCACAGTATGTTCTATTATGAATATCAAGGTCAGGTTTACATGAATTGAAACTGCGCTATAGTGAAACAAAGTCAGATCAATTTGAGAATCGTACATTGTCGACATTTCTCTCCTTGTCTCTTTGTTGTTAAAGCTGTGAGGTATTAAACAAGAAGGAATCATTTAGGGAGGATTGTGAAGGCGACCCAGCTCCTCCATTCACACAACCAAAGTGGCCTTGAGCAAAAAATATAACTTGTCTTTGTGTGAAATACAGACAGAGAAATTGTGAAATGTGTATGAAACAGAATCACTATTTACCACTGACCACGAACAAAACAAAACTACAGCCCTGTTAATTAAGCCTGTGGTTGTACTCTTTCTGAGTAAAAAAAAAAAAAACACATTTTATCGCATCACACAGGCTTTTCTGAAATGATTGAACGAAATTTTGCTGATGGAAAATAATTCTCCTCAAAAATCTTTTCTTAATATTTTTCAGTGTCTCAAAATAATTATTAACTTCAAAATGAAAACTTTTTTAGTTTATTGTTGCAAAGATATTAAGGATTTTGCAGCTTACTTTTAAACAACAGGCATCGGTTGAAGTAGGATGGTAACTTTTGTTCAATCTTCCACATATTAAAGGTGCACTGTGTAGCTTTTCAACTTTTTTCTCTGGATATGTCATTGCTCTGCTTTCAGTATTCCACAGTATGACATTAAACAGCTCTGACTTACATTTATACAATTACATGTGGTTTTATAGCTAAAAAATACCTAGAAAAACAGGCATTCTGACTGTGAGCTGGGCTCCCATTCCACAGATCTGACCTGTAACTTGGTCTGGTTTAGTTTCCATGATGACAGCAACATTTAATACTATACTGTGCAACACTCCAGACCAAGAGGTAACGTTAAGAAAAGCATTTGACGGACCCTGCACCAGAAAAGTTACACAATGCACCTTTCAATATTTTACATAATCATGCTAAATACAGAACAAAAATCAGCACGTATGGCTACATGCTGAATCCAAAAGTAGCGAGTGATGTGATGTTTCAGTGTATTTCCCTGTTTGAAGTGAATTCAGAGGGACGGGAGTGAAGAGGAGGAAGAGAGCAGCGGGCCTGAGAGACGTAGGTGTGTAAAGCATCTGGGAGAAACAGGCAGCTCTGACACACCAAAGCGAACGGCGATTTTCTAAGCGATGCTGATCTGTGCTCCCTGCTCCCTGCTCCTCCTCCGTTTAACAAACCCACCCAGCGGCTCCGGGATAGCGCGGGTGGGACACAGCGAAGCCTTGTCCATGTTGACTCACTCAGAGCGCTCAGGTGAGACGCAAGGTTAAGTATGTGGGGAGGAAGAGAGATAAGCACTACCGAGCGTACTGGCAAACCTCAAAAGGCATGGAGAGGTAAAGGGGAAAGTGAAGCTATAGTGTGTAGGTTTTAAGTGTATTATGTGTGTCTTTAAAGGTGCATTGTGTAACTTTTCTGGTGTAGAGTCTGTCAAATGCTTTTCTCCATGGAGATGCTATTGCTTTGTCTGGAATGTTTCACAGTATGGCATTAAACTTGGCTTTCTATCTTCATCGAGATGAAACCAGGACAACTTACAAGTCAGATCTGTGGAGAGGCAACCCCACTCACAGTCACAATTCCTGTTTTTCTAGGTATTCTTGAGCTATGAAACCACCTGTAATTTAATAAATGTAACGAAGATCTGTTTAATGTCATACCGTGGATCATTCTAGGCAGATATACTCAACTAAAACGTTATATAGAGCACCTAAAATATCAAAAAATCTGTGCATCATGATACTAAATGTCTTGATACAGTATTGTTATCATGGGCTGCTGTATCGATATCAAGATTTTTTTTGTATCTTTTATTTATGATCTCTCTCTACAATTTTGTTGTTTATGCAATACATTTGACATATTCACTGATTATCAAATTTGATGTATTTCATTAACTTAGCACAAGTAGTGGTTTAACAAAGAAATATTGTTACTAAATGTATTCGGTTCTTTAAAAAAAAATACCGGTCAAAAGTTTTAGAAACCCACATTTTTTTCCAGTTTTTTACTGTTTACTGTTTACCAGTGACCAAAATGTATTCTAAACTTCTGATTCATGAAAGTAGCGTTTTTACAATACAAAATCAAATATTCTTCAGAAAGTTCTTCCCAAGTCTGCTGCAGAAGTTCCCATACTTGTAGGTTGCTTGTTTTTTCGCTCTTCTGTCCAGTTCATCCCAAACCAGCTCGATGGGGTTAAAGTCTAGAGACTGTGCTGGACACTCCATGTTTTCAAGCTCACCATCTTGTTCTTTTTTCCTGAGGTAGTTGTGGCTTATCTTGGACTTGTGTTTTGTTATGTTTTTAATCTTTTTTTTTAACCCCTGGCTGTTCAGTACTTACCTTTATTGCCATTTCAAGCTCTTCATTGGACTTGCACAACTTGAATTGCAATAAATATCTGAAAAATGCAGGTGTTCCAAAACATTTTGACCAGTAGTGTATCACAGAGTATGATTTGCAATTATTATAATTATTGCATGGATCACCATATTGCGATAATATTGTATTGTTTTGAATCGTGAGGAACCCTGTGATTCCAAGCCCTATTAAGTGCAATGTGCTTTGATCTTTTTTCTTTGGAGAAAAGAAAGAGGCTATAAATGTGCTTCTCTTATATCAAACATCTCATGCAGGCTGCAAATATTGTATAGGAGAAATTGGCAATGATTCAGTGGTTTATTATGCAACTATACTACCCTAGCAACAGTTCGGCTTAAGCAAGCTAAATTTTAACCAAAGTTAGAACAATGCATAGGCCCACAGACATCAACAGACCTTTAATCCAAATATGCATTAATATCAAAAATAGTCATGCACAAGTCTTGCACGGTGCTTTTTCAGATGCTCAGATACACTTCTTTTCAATCTGCACCAGTACGGCCCTTTTAACTACTGACTACCACTGTGCACTCACTGACACCCTGAAACGGTAAAAG